CCATGTGAGATCCAGCCACCTTAACCTCCATGCCACCTGCTGGCTCCTTGTGTGCTTCTAAGGTTGAGAAGTGCTGGAGTGGCCGATGGTGACAAGAGCAGGTTCGGTGCTGTGTGCTGGGACTTGGTCAGAGAGCGTGTGATGCATGTTCATAGCTCCTCACCTCCTCGGTTGGATGTGGCTCTACACGGTTGCATTTGTAGCCTAACATTCGTATTGTACACCTTGTACAGAAGAGAAACCTCCTTCCCCACTGTTACAGCCCCAGGGGCTACCTTGCTGGTGGTGCAGGCATTCCCCGCCAGGTCTCTGACTCTTTGGAGCGCTTGACCTCTGCAGCTTGCAAGTCTCTTTCCGGACATACTGTCTTGCCATCTCCTCCAAGGCACCTGTGTTTAGAACTGAGCCTAGGGGACTGCCAGTTCAACTCAGGTCTCTGAAAAACAGGTCCGAAGTTGGAGGCCTGTAGTTGGTGTGCTTATTTGGTGTTTGTTGTTCAGAGTTTCAGGAAGGTTGGTTAAAGTCCTGCTGGTGGCTGTGGCATTGATCCCAGGGGCAGGTGTTTGATCTGTGAGCTTTTCCTAGGGTGGCTGGTCACTAAGATGCACTGAGTCCCCTTGACCCTCTTTCTTGGGAGCAATATGGAGCCTGCAGTTTCAGATCTGGGAACTTGACAGCAGGCCTAGAGAGTGGGAGGCTGCAGGTACTAATGGTGAGTCCTTGCCTCCTCCCAGGGCTATGCGGTACTTGTCATAAGCTCCAGAGAGTTGCTTTCCACAGAGAGCAGGCCCAACATGAAGTCGAATCCTGCCATCCAGGCTGCCATCGACCTGACGGCGGGGGCTGCAGGTAAGCCCAGAGAAAAGCCGAAGCCGCATTCCGCAACTGCTCACAAAGCAAGATTGTGAAAGTGGCATGAGAGTATTACCTTGGTTGCTCCAAAAGTAATATGCTTTAACCTGCAACGGAGTCCATTTAATGAGTATAACATTGTTCAGAACATGGCAGAAGTTACAATAGTGTTTGTTCTCTCTCTCTTTTTTTTTTTTTGAGTTTTTTTTTTTTTGCTATAGGGCATGTGTGCTCACCAGAAAGACAGAGAGAGAGAGACAGAGAGAGAGAAAGTGAGAAATTACCCCCCCAAGGGGGATGGTCATGCCCCATCCCTTGTCCTCTATTCTCCTCTCAGGATCTCTGGCACGCACGCACACATGCCCAGTGTGAGTTTAAGCCACCAGGTCTGGGACTCGAACCACGGTCAACTACATGGGAGTCCAGCGACATAGCCATTACACCATCTGCTGGTCCCAGTATTTGTTCTCTTAAAATTATGAGACAGGGTGAGGAGTGAAATTTCAGAGATGAAGTCACTTGTCCTTTGTCACAGGCGTGGGTTATTCAGGTGACACGAGACTCTATGCCAAGCCTGGCTTCTTCAGAGTCCTTGTGGTGCAAAGATCATACCATGTCATCTCTCCAGCAAAACACCAGTTACTGTTCTTACTAGTGTTTGAAAAGAAAGGAGAGTACGTTGCCTGTGTCTGAAGGCCATGAAAGAAAGGGAGCAGAGGTAGGATTTACTGGGAATCCCCAGCTAAGGCTGAGCCGAGGCACCCGAGCCCAAGGGCAGACTGAGGTTCCCTGTTCCCTCAGCACAGGTGCGTGTTGCTGGGCAACGCTGGCCACATACAGGCTACCCATCAGAAAGACTGCCATTTTCCCCCCC